ACATGATGTGTTGAACAATTTTATGTTCAACTTCCAATTACGTCGACCTTCGCAATGGGTTTGATTCAAAATGATGAATCCAAGGTGAACAGAGTAGAGCAACTATTATTCTAGGTACCTACTCTCAGATGTGGTTTACACTCAATAGATAATAACAGTCTAGAATGGCTCTGGGGCAGACGGTTTAAAAGAGATTCGCTCTGGTTGCATAATAAGCTGTTTTGTAAGTTGAAAAAACAGGTGTCGATGTAGTAAGGATGGAAAGATAATGGCAAAATTGCTGTTGGAATTCTCCGTTCTAAACGTAGAAACACGACTCAGTTCGCGTAAAAGGTTAGAAGCTATCGATTTAAAGGTCTTGATGATGATAGTGAAACCGATATATGTATTTACGTACATCAACAACCGCTGGAACCGCGGAACGTGGTTTGTATTATTTGCGGTTGCCAATTTTTTTATTCGTAATCCGATCGAAGTGAATACAATACGTCAAAAAGCAGAGGAAAGCAAAAAATCGAACCCTATCACAAACAAATATAATTACGATCATGATATCATCGAAAGATGGAGGCTTAATAAAATGGGGTAAAATTCATTATAAAAGAAAAGGTTATAACAGAAAGGCAAATTTCGTGAGAAAGGACAAAATTTGTACAAACAAAAGTACAGTCTATTTCAATTTGTTATAATTGTGACCTTGAAAAAATCTGCGCGAAGATATAAAGAATACACACTAGGCGTGAGCAAGACAGAAATAGTTGGAACAAGCTTGAACGAGCAGAGCTCATGATGGGCGGTCTTAGGAGATCGGCTAGAACTGTACAGTACTAGACGAAAATGTTTAGCAATTTCTTAAAACAAAAATGTATATAAATTAACAATAGAAAACAAAGCAAAAGTTTTACAGGTGTATAGAACGTTAAGTTACTTCACTTGTAATTATTTTTGGCTAAATATGTTTTTAAATGAAGCATATTCTTAAATTTCACGAGACGGTTTAAATAATTTTGCAAATGGTACTGTACACTTTTGTCTAGTTCTCGCTCGATGATCGGTGAAGAAATGAGCTCCGCAGACAAATATGATTGAATTTGGAATTATGATACGGCGCATCCTAATATAAGGAAGGGGCATATCTCTAACTTCTTGAAAGGAACAGTAATCTAGAAGGTGAAGAGCACAAATTTGGTAAAAACACAAACTTAAATCCTGAGAAAGAGGGTTGTTTTGCTTGTCCATTTTATGAATGTTGTTCTCTTTTGTATTTGCCATCTTCAGACTTGATTTTCTTGAGACTTGTCAGCATATTATCATGCGTATCTCATTCTCGCCATTCCTGAAGAAGCATTAATAGGCTTATAGTTGGTTACCTACATTGCGCTAGTAACAAAGAACACCAGCATTTCTAATATCTACATTCTGGAATTATTCTAGAACATGTTCAACCCCAGTACATGATTACTATGAAGTCGGAAGAAATCTTTCGCTTTTCTTTTGTCTTTCGTCCATTTCATCATTCTCACTCCAACCACCACCCACTCGTCCCCATGGTTCCTAAAAGGAGACAGAAGGGACTGCCAGTCAATCAGCATTAGTAGCTGGCGAGAATTAACCGCCCAAAAACCTTTTCTTTGGAAGAAACAAATCCATTTAGACTTGGGCATTTTGGTTCAATAAAAAGAGTGCTCCACTTAGTTCGCTATTCTTCAGTGAACTAGTTTGCTCTTATAGTTCGTTATTTCACTGATAAGGCACTGTAGGTTCGAAGAAGATAGAGACCCTTTAAAATCAATGATGGAATTATCTGATATTGATTTACATCAAATCAAATTTTCGGAAAAATCTTATTGGTGTTCCAGGACTCCCAAACGGTCAAAATTTCCGTTGTTATATCATGAATTTTTTCCACCATCTTCAATGCGTGGTAGATAATGGAACAAACGAACTGATTTCCTGTTTCGTTGCGAACTACTTCTTATAGTTCACATATAGTATCGCTCTACCGAACTAGTTAGTTCGTGTACTAATTCCAATGGTATTCCGTAACGACTAACCCAGCCATTGTCAAGCTTACCGGAACCATCGTGTGCTTCATGAACTGCATTTAACTCTTCTCATCCCATTTTCATGTCATCTTGTACTGCTTCCAGTTTCTGTTTCATTTATTCTTGTTCCATTCTGATGTCCCTTCTTCTATCGTCTTTTCCAACTTGACAGTATCGTTATTTGGAGCATGTCACACTGATGTTGGATGTTTACGGTGCTCGTTTTAACTTTTAATTTGTGTATTACGAGAACTTATGATTTTAAGAATACATCTACCCTGTATCTATATACAGAAGTAGTTCAAGATAGCACGAAATTACCAGAAAACTCCAAAGTTTCATCACAAAGAAAATACACAGGGACTCTTCTACAAAGAGCATGAAAATTGTACACAACTTAAATAAGAAGGGACAGATAAGGAAGCAGCAGATGATAACAAAACCATTCATTAACTATACGACGCTGTTTATACCAAATAGAAAGAGATATAGCACTGTAGATACGCCGACTTCTTTGTAATGAATGGGTTAACTTGTAACAGTAATAACTATTCTTCCACGTCTCCATATTTTCTCAAAGGAAGTAAAAAAGTAAATCGTACACTAGTGAATACGGAATAAGTCAAAGACTTCTAATTAAAATCTTATATCAGTCAAAAGAAATTAATTACAACTTGTAATGTACACTTTGAAATTTGTAATAGTCAGAAAACCTTTGAGCAAACAAGCACGTCTTTGTACAAACGCTGCCAACCTAATAATACACTGACATACTTCCACAAAGTAGAAAAATTAGTACCAAAAGCTACTATGAAAGTAAGGCATTATTAACATCAGCAAAAGATGCACAATTTCAATTTCCTGCTAAATATTAAATCGTAAACAGAGCATTCGTTGTGTCACTACAAATGGCATATAAAAAGTATGATGTACATCAAGCTTCAATTTAAATCAAATTAATTGAATAATTGCACAATTGTGAGTTATCAGACTCGAGCGCAATAGTAATACAGTAGTACATCTCTTCAATATGTATTTTATTTAAGTAAAATAAAGTTGAAGGGACCTCATGGTATCAAAATTTCAAAAATAGAGTACCTACTCGACTGAATTTAACGTTAATTTGTTTCTAACAAACAAACTGACAGAAAAAGTACAGACAGAGTAACAAATGACTGCAGGACAGTAAGATGTGTTTTTAAAACGCCATCAACAAAGTAATAAATACACACTGCGTCTTCAATGGTAACAAATGAATGCAAATAATGCAAATGTGTATTGTCACAAGCATTAAGTGCATTTTAAACATTGTCATATGCGACAGAAAACTAAAAACAAACCAATAATGAAATCATTCGCGTTATAAATACCGCAAACACGTTCAATTTGCATTAATTTAAAGTGCTGTCAACGTAAAAACAAAGTCATTTTCTTTTGCGTGTTGGTAAACACGATTTAATATTTCTCGTCGTACAAAGGACTTGGCACATTTTCAAGGAAATGTTACGTTTATAAAAAGCTTCGAAGTACAAAGACTGCAACTTCGAAAAAAAAACTATTTACACGACAAATTTGCATTAGTAAGTAGGCTGTACAACGTGCCCTGTATCGACTAATCTCTATATTAGAGGTTAGTACAGATTTGCTACTTGTTAAAACATACGCATTTGGGAAGGTTAGGTTAGGTTACTCTATATATTTTAGTAAATTGAGGTTAAGGTACGTGAGCCAAGTAATCAAGATTATGGCGAAAAAATGATGTTTAAAAGAAATAATTTGCTCTAAAAAAGCAAGGCCTTTCTTTTTTATTTCCTTAATCACAAGTATTTAAAGAAATTTTCAAAGTGCAATAACCTTTAAACAACTAGAATTCGTTTAGCACAAAAAAGTAAGCTATGTTTTAAATTGAATAAAAGTTCCCTTTTCCATAAGCTGACTCTGAATTTCCTGTGATGTAAATGAAACACCTTGCCTAAAATTTATAATCGGTATTTGCCGAAATGCGTAAAAAACTTCGTTCCACCACGATACCACACAATGTTCATTTTTCTCTCATATAAAGTATTAACTAATGGCAACATTCATATTTTTTAGTTTTGTATTAATGTTTTAAAAATTAGAGAACAGGGATAATTTTTAAACAATTTTCAATGAAAATATCTATAGTGACTGATACGTTAAATTCCTATTAAAACATTTAATTCTAGAATTTGAAAAGTACTGTCTAAAAAGAGGCCCTTAATGGCGTAAATGAAAAAAAAAAATAGGAATACAGCCATTACTCAAAGGGGTGGGGGAAGGGGCCCCAAAACATTATTTTTCATTATTTCTATTTTTGAGTCGTCAATCTACCTCCGCCATCAAATTAATAGGTACATCAATAAGAGGAAAACAGGGGGGAGGTGTGACATACAGGCAGACAGATAGATAAAGAAACCAAAAGTATGAAGGTTCCTATTTTACTAAGGATCTTTTAATTTTAATGTAATGAATATAAGAACTGCTAGTTTTTAAAAAAAATCCTTCGATTATGTCCATTTTTCACCCCATTATTATTATTATCTCATATTAGGTTCCAAAAAAGAAATTTTTTTAGTTTAAAATACCCTAGGTTAACGCTTTTGCATATTTTCGTTTCATAAATTAATTACCAAAATTAATATTTTAATAAGAACTTCTTCATTGTAACATTTTTTTATCGACATATTCCCTAGATGTTCCCAATTATCCTGCCGATCCCTAAACGTTAGCAACTATTCAAATCGAAACAAATTTTCAACCCAGTTCATCGAATTATTTGAAATAAACTCAAGCGAATTTACCTTTATTGAATTGTAAGATGGGGTGGAATTAACCATTTCTCTATTGCACAATAAATAATTATGCAATAGATAAATTCTTATCTCACCTACTATGCAAATGTGTGTAAAGAAAAGCTTATAAGAAGGTACTTACTAAAATCCATTACGTCTTCTTAATTCTATTCTCCAAAACGAATACAATACCATAAAGTAATTTACACATGCAGAAATTTATTCTTCAAGCAAGCTAAAATTAATAAATGGGAATAAATATCTACGAATTACATAAATCAAAAGTCTAATTATTCTCAATAGTATAGTCCCACTATACCTATACATTACCTTAAAAATATACACTTCATCGTAGATGTATTTCTATCTAATTAAATTTAATCTATTTCCTGTTAAATATAACAAAGAAGACGCCACGCCATTTACTTAAATTAATAAATGTAATGCATTTGCTCGTCTTGTTTGCGGCGAGACATCGGCAAAAGTGAAAGGACCACCGAACAAAGCTCGGTAAGCTTCGTTCCAAGGCTGTGTCTGATAGCAGTTGATTTTCTGCAACTAACGTTTTCATGTAGATGAATGATTAGCAGGTCGTACGTTTTATACTGCATAAAGATATAAACAAACACACTGCTTGTAATGATATAAATAAATAAGAAAATTTAAAGAGAAGGAAGTACATGATACTGAAAAATTGCATTTTCCAACCGATGATGATGATGATGTAGAAACAACCATTTTTTTTTAAACGTCAAAGAGAGCTCATTGTTACAACAATAAGGAGATTATTCATTTAGATTCTAGGGTTTTTAGGGTCGACGAAGATTAGTTATAAATATACTTTGTCACATTGTTATTTAAACTATTTTCGTGCATTTGAAGAATAGAAGGAAATGTCTAAAAAAAATTGAAGTAGGTACTTTTTTCTAAAAATAAATTGGTGAATTTTCACTAATTTTTAATAAATATTTCACAGTTATAATAAAATCACTGCAAATTAGTGAATCAATTACAGTTGACAATACTAATTATTGAATCAGTGATTTTAATAAAGAGTAAATAAGCATAAAATCAGAAGAAAAAAACACAAAATTAGCCCAGACTAGAACTCAACCATTGAGTCAATAACGAAAAAAATAGATGACGTATTAGAACATGAGTGATAAATAATAATGTGTTGGATTGTAGTAATGATTTCTCAATTGCAAATAAGGTCACAAACAGTAACAATTCAGCTTGAAGCAGAAACAAATATGGCTGATTTAAATAACTTTACCTACCATTAGAACAATGAATTACTTAAAAGTACGTCATAGAGTACAAAATAACTCATGCATCACCGAAAAATGCTTATTTCACGGTGATATATTTTTAATCAATGTATTTTCAGTTAAATATCACTAATTTATTTTAATTTTAACAACTGCTTTGTTAGTTATCTTTTATTTCACCAGGGAAATACTTCAATAATAATTGAACTTTTAGAGAGTTCAGTTACCATTAGGTTGCGTTCATATGTTTTCCACATTTCTGAACGGAACAGTCTTTTAAAATTCTAACCATAAAACAAAAACTGCGCACATAAAACGCTTTATTACCAAGCCACACATTATCCTGTAGTCCTTTAATAGTAGATTAGACAAATTGTTTATAACTTCCCACAAAGGCGTTAATTGCCTACGTCATGAACATACTTCCGTTTATAGACCTATATCAGTGTAATTCCTTATCCCATTTCAACGTGATGGCAATTTCCTATCAAGCTCCTTGACGGTTATTAAAGTTCCATTTGCGGCGTGACGAAAATTAGAAATGTATCCATACTAATAACAATAATAATAACAACAACATATAATGACGATTTTGCCAAGGTAAAGATGAATTCTCAATGCCGTATTGCTGTCGCTTCCGAGTTACGATTCGTTCGCACTTTGCATTTTAATGATGCAAACTTCAACAATCGCTGATCTACAAAAGGCAGCCACCAAACCACGACATGGATATCGTCGTCGTTGTTCAATTGCAATCTCGTGCTTGGCGTTTCTATTTCGATATTAATTGTAACATAGACGTCCGTGAAACGACATTGTTTTACAGCCCACTTCGATTTTGTATTGGGTGGTTAGATAACGCAAGCACACTTCCGCGAGTCTACGAAACACCTACTGTTGCGACAACATTTGTTTGAAACAAATTGTTATCTTTTTGTTAATTAAAAAACAATTAAATCGGTATAGCGTTTAAAACGAGTAATTAACGAAAAACAATGGGAATGTACCAAAATTTATTACAGAAACAGGTTGTAGATGAACGAACGGAGATTTGAAGACGACTTTTCATAATTACATCATTATCATCATAATCATCATAGGGTCGTCAATCCTAAGACTGGTTGAGCACACACCTCCACAATTTGCTATTCTGAACTAATCTTTTCGCATTTCCTTAGAACTAAAACATCCCACATCCGTAACTTTTTTTTGAACAGTAAATTAATATAAATCTACCTCTGAGTATTCCTCTTAACCCCTTCTTCTGCTTCTAATATGTCTCTAATCAACTCTTCATGATTTCATGCAATGGAATTTATATTCGGTTCTTAGTTTCCCTGTTCTCATTCCTTTGCATCAGTACATAAACTAGCAGTATACCTAATTAAAAAATGGTTACTATGGAATTAAATAATAGTTAGGTTGGGTTACTTAGACTACTTCGTTAGTTTAGTTATATTTCAATGCTGACGTTTAACTAATATTTAAATGCTCGCCACGAATTGATACTGACCATATGAATCTAAATACGGATCATTTATATCCACGTACTGACCATATGGATTTAGTTACTGGCCATTTATATCAAAATTACTGACCATATAGATTTAACCATACTGATTATCATCATCATAAGGTCGTCAACCCTAAGACTGTTGGACACGCATCTCCTTTCTTTCCTATCCTGAGCTAATCTTCGCATTTCCCTAAAATTAGAACATCCCACATCCTTAACTATTTCTGAACAGTAATCTAATGTAGTTTATCTTGTTTCTGCCTCTACCATGTCTCTGACTAAACCTTCGTATCCAAGAAGGTGTCCTACTAACTTACTTCGCCTATTTCTTATTGACTTCCATATAGACCTCTGTTCTCCTATTTTTTCTAAAACCTCTATCTATGGTATCCACGGAGACTTCTTTTTTTTGAAGACGACTCGACCCTGCGCTATCATCTGCCCTATAACCCTACTACTCCTTCCATCCTAACTTATCTGACTTCCTAGATACTTAACGTAAACCACTTCTTCTAATCTTTCGTCTCCTATTTTTCCCTACCTTTTCTTCCCTTGTATACCAGTATTTTTGATTTATTTTTATTTATTTTCATACAATACCGCAACCATTTTATTTAAAGCTATCTGTAACTCCTCCTTGCTACATGCTAAAACTGCTATATCATCTGCAAATCTAACCATAATAATCTCTTGCCCCTGTATATCTATCCCTACTGGTCATACTGATTTAAATATTGGCAATTCAATAAGAAGCAGTTGTTCCTGCAAATCTACCCACAATAATCTCTTGCCCCTGTATATCTATCCTTACTGATCATAGGGATTTAAATATTGACTAAGTTATAAAAAGCAGTTGTTGCCAAATTTTGTTTATTATTTAATGTAGAGATATCAATCCCCTAACACATAAACATTACTTCACAATTTGTACTCTAATACCTAACAATACAACTCAAAGCGTTTTGAAGGTATTCACCTCAGTGATACACCCTCGCTGCTTTACTTTCGATCACGTTACCTTAGCCGTGAGTAGGTCACGCTATTAGAAGTCTGCAAACACAATCACATCGCAAATTTTAAGCAATTGGTTGTTACATAAAATTATTTCTCAACTCGAACAAATCATGTACCTAATTTCATTACCTACGGAGATCGTAGTAGGTAGGTACGTTAAATGTAAGTACACTAGTAGGTACGTTTACTGTATCTATCGAAGCTGTGCGTTTTTTTTTTTTAAATGTCGTGTTTTTAAACTACCAAACATACATATACCATCGCAGATACAACCCACTACCAATAGCAATTAGTTAATTTAATTACGACACCTAACTCTGAATTTAGAACAGATTCGATATTGACATTTATTACCGTTCGGCATCAAATTTAAATAACTATGTAGGTCGGAAACATAAAAGCAAATGTTTGTTAAATATTTGAATACGTTATATTATTATAAATACACCCCTGTATTCGATATGTAAATATCTGGTTACCTATATTGGAATTAAATATTTTATGCATAAAAATAGAAAATGTAGGAATGAATTACAAAGATAGAAGAGTGATACTTAGTTTGTATAAAGAGCAACAGGCAGTTATAGAGCTGGGGATGCAACGTACAGAAGTAAATATTAGGAAGGGAGTCAGACAGGGATGCACACTGTCACCGCTACTTTTTAATCTATACATCGAAGACGCCATCAACATCATTAAAGACAGTACAACTGTAGGGATAGATGTGCAAGGGCAAAAGATTAGTATGCTTAGATTTGCAGATGATATAGCAGTATTAGCATCTAGCAAGGAGGACCTAGAGATAGCTTTAAATAAAATGGAAGCGGTACTGACAGATCAGTACTGTATGAAAATAAATAAAAGTAAAACTAAAATACTGGTATGCAAGGGAAGAAAAAGTAGGGAAAGAGCGAATATAAAGATAGGAGACGAAAAATTAGAAGAAGTGGCTGATTTTAGATACCTAGGAAGTCAGATAAGTGAGGATGGAAGGAGTAGTAGGGATATAAAGCAGAGGATAGCGCAGGGTCGTGTCGCCTTTAATAAAAAGAAGTCACTTCTATGCTCGCGAACGGTTAATTTAGAAATTCGAAAAAGGTTGTTAAAGGTGTATGTTTGGAGCACGGCGTTGTACGGGTGCGAAACATGGACAGTGGGAGCGGCGGAAAAGAAAAGGTTAGAAGCGTTCGAAATGTGGTGTTATAGGCGGATGATGAGGATATCGTGGGTAGAAAAGGTTAGAAATGAAGAGGTATTGGAAAGAATAGGAGAACAGAGGACTCTATGGAAGTCAATAAAAAATAGGCGAGATAGGTTGGTAGGACACCTTCTCAGGCATGAAGGTCTAGTCAGAGACATATTAGAGGCAGAAACAGGAGTTAGGAGGGGTAGAGGTAGACCTAGATTAGATTACTGTTCGCAAATAGTTAAGGATGTGGGCTGTTCTAGTTTTAGGGAAATGCGAAGTTTAGCTCAGGATAGGAAAGAGTGGAGGTACGTGTCCAACCAGTCTTAGGACTGATGACCTTATGATGATGATCATGATGGCAGTTATATCAATACACGTTTATATTTTGTTTGTTTTTAACAACAAGTGAATCAGACCCCAAACTC